GCTTAAAAAAAGGATTATTGGCTAAAAAAGTTTGGTAATCGCCGGGCTATACGGTCGTAAAGCGCAGATACGATTTATTGAGCGCATATACAAATGTTTATAGAGTTACACTCAACACACTTAAAACTGCAAAAAAAAACTGAAATTTGAAAGTCACAAGAAATTTCAATGGCTAGAATATTTATTTATCACACTATTAATGGAACATTTAATAAGATTTATGAAATATTTAAGTATTTATAAGAATTAGTTTGTTTAGAATCACAAGAACATTTTACAAGCCGAGTTTTACTTCACTTATTCATTATTTATTCCCAACATTAAAAATGAATCTTTTAAAAAATTAAATTTTAAACTTTTTTTCATCAATACTTTTGTCACTATTTGAAATTGGGATTATAAAATCGGAGTTCAGTACCTTTACAGAGACTCATTTAAAGTTTTGACGCTCTAGGTAAAGTTTTATTGCCACACCTACACACGTTTTATACGATCTTTCGAGTAGAATAATATGTATTATCTATAGCTTTTACACGGTTAATTTTTAATAAAATTATCATGAAAATAAAAATTGCCGTGCGGTTGCTATACAAAATCTTAAAATATTTAAATGTTTTTATTGTCGAATGAAAATAGATAATAGCTTATAGTTAGAAAAATATGCTGCTGTCCCTTAATTTCAGAAAAATTTACCGCCCGAGACGATGGTACCTCCCTAAATACGTCCCTGTACCTGTATAGTGTTGTTAATTATCAATTAAAAATAAAATTACTGGAATATATTGAATTTACAATGAGTTTCATCCGTCAAACGGACCACTAAATATATTGTTATTAGTTGTAACATGACATATGCTTGTAAGTTCTTAGCGTTCGAAAACTCCCCATTATATTGTTCATTTAATCATCATAAGTGATATGTTACCACGCACTGTACTCGTATTCCGTGCATAGATATTATCCAAAACGTGTATAAAAATAAATCATTGTTTATTATTTTATTTTCAATAATCATTATACGACGCGATGCACCTCGTACGTTTTTCAGGTTCGCACTCGCAATATGCGTAGGTATGTGCTTGGAAACTATTAAAAAATGATTTTTTAGATAATTAGATAATTCCATTTTAAATTTTAATGATTAAATTAAAATTCTTTTAATTTATTACTTATGATTTATGAATAAAAAAATCATACAAAAAATAAATTATTAAATTTTTTATTATTAAATTAAATTATTAAAAAAATAAATTATTCAAATCAGATATAAACTTTCTAATAATTTTCATTGATAATAACATGTAAAAATAGTTATAAATTATAATGTCTAAAAATATATAAATAGCAATTTGTATATTATTCTCACTTGATGGTCAATAAAATGCGTTTAGCGTAGCATCATAGGCATCACTATTTCTTCTAGCAGAACATTTTTATAAAATAGCCCGTTGGGCAACTGTTATATTTTTAACCGTGGGTGTAGCTAGTTCTTGGATTGGGCGACCACTTAGGATTACTGCGTTCCGGTTCTTAATTAAATTGATTTCATTATGATAAAATTGAAAATGTTCGATTTAATTTTTTTTTATATGTACATAATTCGATTTTAGTTTAACATCATCCGATTTTTTAGTAACTATTATCAAATGTTTAAGGTACGTTAGGCACTGCATAAAATAATAAAACAACCAATACATTTTTTTTATTTTGTCCGGAAATCATAATATCGATAAGTTAAAGTATTTACCTATTTGGTTGAATCAGTATTACATAAATAGTTTGATTGGATTTGAACAAATTTGTATTCATAATTTGTCGATAAAAGTTTTGTATATTACTGGTATTTGGTTATGACCAGCAAATTAATTGTGGTACCTATACAGATTTTAATTAATTCTGGTATTGAATTTATTCATGGGCCTTGAGTAAATGTGGCCAAAGCCAAAACTTAAAATACGTGTTGAAAATATCTTGAAAAAACGAAAATCACTTAAATAATTCTGCATTTTTTTGAAGTGTAAAATCCAGAGATTGTCTTATTTGTTTTTACTCATTATTTATTTTTTACACAAAAAATTGTATTTTCATATAATACACTGATCTAAATTGTAGTGACGTTTCATCAGTGGTGCGCAATCTTTTTGATCTGTGACCATCAATTTAATTTATTTCAATGAAGCATCCCTTTCTACAAACATTATGTAATTGTATAATATATATTTAATGTATACGAGCATTTTACTCATATTAAAATATATATGATTATAAACTAAATCATTAACTTTAGGCAATTTTCATATATCTTCAGTTTTATCAATCAAAAACACAAAAAAAGAGATACATAATTAGAGTTATATAAAATAATATACATAATATACAACTTTTTCATTTTGGTGTAAGATTATTGGTTCCTCCCTTAGAAGTCGTGATCTCCTGGTCGTGCACCACTGTGTATAGTGTATACATTGTGTACAGTGGTTTCCAATTGATATGAAGCTATAGATCCTTAGCTAAAACATAAATTGGACTATTCACCGCTCTTTCGTACACGTTGAGGGAGAAAATAATTAATTTTATAGAAATTGTTCCTATAATTTGAATAAAAATGTTTTCGATAGATGAAATACAATGAGATATTTTTTTTATAAAATAACTATTTAAATATCTTATTTTTACGCACAACGAATGGGCCACAAAAAATTACGATTTATTTACAAGTGATTCAATTGATTATTGCATTGATTTTCAAACTATATGGAATTTAACGTAATTTCTTTTCCTATCAACACACTAGCCTTGAGTTTGGCTGCACTGTTTTCGTTTTCACCCGATTAACAATCGATTTCTCGTGCCCGATCATCTAACGAACAATACGCGTTCGCGTACACGCGCGGTTCGTTTACAAAGCTGTGGCGGAAATAAAAAAAATGGCATTCTCTTCGCCCGAAATTTGAACGCATCCCCAGCAACAACAAAACGGATTTCCAATACAACTCTCGTGCATTCAAGAACAAAAGGAAAAGAAATAAAAAACAATTTTTATTCACGGTTAACTTTCAGACGGAGAGTATTTCGCGTCGTGTTTATGTAATCCTTTACGAGAAAACATTAATGGAACACGTGCACCTCCCCGGCTGCGCGTCCGATGTTATCGTACCCGCTTGCGATCGACGCGTAAGTCGGGGTACCTCAATTCTCGTCACACCGACCGCTGTACTGGTTAATTTGAACACTTTCGTGCGCCGGTAATCCGCGTGGTAAACGTTGTCTCGAGTTTCAAGTCGGTCGCGGATGACGTCCGCCGAGAGCGTTGCGGGTTCCACTCGCATCGCGTTCCCGTAGAAAACTCGAAATGGCCCGACCGTGCGTGTCCCAGCAGTGATTGAACGGAGAGGGGGGTTACGATGATATCCCCCTCCCCATACAATTTTTGTTGTTTTGTATTTTTTTTTTTTTTTTTATACCGATTGTAGATCATTTTCATTTACAATGATACGATAAAACTAATTTTTTTTTGTGATGTCAAAAACGATTAATTGTAAACCGTTGCTCTTTTCTGCCAACGTAATTTCCAACGTGTTTCACAATTGTGTTTTTCAATCGGAAAATATGTTTGTATTTCTATTATTAAAGTTTCCAACAGCCAAAAGCTGCTTTTGGTGTGGTATGGCATCTACTGGGTATGTAGGTTAGTGCGCAATTAGATTAACTATGTGGGGTGTAATTGATATAAGTTATAAACATCGATTCTCAATAAATGGATATTCTTTTCTGCAATTATTTTTTTTTTTTTTTTTAAGAACATGGATTTCATGGTTAGATTTTAACTGGTAAATATATCAAAATAGCTGCCATTGCAATGCTACATGTTCCAATGAAACATCGCAACAACATCGAAGCGATGACTAATTGCACAGTGGAATACGATTATGTAATTGTTGATGTTCCATGTTCATTACTAGAACACATTGGATTTACTTTGCAATGAAATAATGCAAATATTCGATAAACAACACCAAGAATAAAAATAAAAATTTTATTACGTACAATAAAAATGTACATTTCACTCGTTTATCGTTTTATAACAACTCGTTGTGTTATCCATCGGAAAATACGGCTTATAACTATAGTTCCTTGAAAATCCCCAAAAAACAATTGATATTTTAAATCAACAGATATCGATTTTGATTAATCGTACATCGAAGTAGTCTATTTAATCGTTTTAGATTGTTACTATAATTTTACAGTACAAAAAAGAAATGTACCGATACTGAAAGCTCTAAACACTTAAATTTTTTTTAATTTATTTCATTAAACTCACATTACTTTAATAAGTTTTTATTTTTTATTTTAATATATATATTGTTTATATAAATAAATTTAATTAATAGAAGACCAGTAAACAGTATTAACAATATTATATTTTATGTCAATGTTTTTAAAATATGCATTTCTCTTTCTTTAACAATATGATTCTAAGTATATTGGTTTAATTATATGCATATGTTACAAAGTATAGTAACTATAAATGTGTAAAATATATTTCGTTGATTAAATTCTAACCTAATATATCAAATGATAAATCATAAACCTACATTAATTTTTTGTAAAAAAACAAGCTACCTAAGCAACAATTAAAAAAACATTTAATATTCAAAAACAATCTTTTCAAAATAACGGTAAACCTAAACAAAACAATGTTTCAAAATGTTATCGTTGCAATATAGATTTTTTTTGTCACAGATCGTTGTCACAATGTTGTAATAATATTTTAAACACCTAAAAAAAATCAAATTGAAGCAATATTTTCATGTTTTTAGTAAATTTTGTAAAAATATGAATAAAATATTTAATTGCTGTGTTGGTATTCAATTTATATATTATGTTTTAAACACAAATGTGATGAAAATCACTAAAAATAAATCAAATATATAATATAAACATATGTGTGTACATACAAATAACAAAAAATATACAAAAATATGTCTGTGGACGACATGAAAAATAAATATTTGAAGCCACGTGAAATTCATAAACTATAATATTTATCATTGGTTGATCCTAATTGTACCGAGGCTGTCAATAATTTTGTCATTTGGCCTAATTTTCAATGGATGGTATGGAATATTCCCGAAAAGGTCTTTCGGGGGTTTATACATAATATCAGCCATGATTTCCGCCAAAATCGTCCATATGAAAATGATCGTACCTAAAAAAAAAGTAATCAATAGTCAATATATGTTCTTTCCATTGTAATTACCAATAAGTAGCGCAATACTTACGAATGATTATTTCGATTAGCGAGACATTGTATACGTCAGGGACAACCCATGTGGCTTTTCCCTTCGCCGCTGATATAGTTACAAGTTTCGTTTCTGCAAATATACTTTCCAGACTTTTGTCATTTAAAGGTTTCGGTCTGTTAAAAGAATGCCGAACTAAATCTAAAAACACTGATTTAAAACAGATTCATTAATACAGGAAGTGGTGATGGAAAAGGGTGATACAATCAAAATCTTTCTCCCTTAATCCGTTGGATAAAATGATACGTAAAATACTTTGTACACACATGAAAATCTCATACGGCCCCATAGCTATAAATAAATTTAATTCTCGGATTGATTACTATTACCATGATGTCATATTTTTATATGCTACATTTTTAACGGTTGCACTAATTCACACCTGTCATTGTATATATTTTCAATTCATTGAAACTGTTGCTCGATGAATATTATGATAAATAAATTTAAAAAAGAAGAAAATATATAATTTTGGATTAAATTAAAAAAATGAAATTATCATTTTAATTAATTAAATTAAATTAATTAATTTAATTTTTTAAAGTTTTTAAATAAAGTTTTAAATCATTTTAAATCGTTTCCCCAATTCGTCAAAACCCATTGTTGATAATTTATTATCAGGTGTCAGTGTCTGGTATATGTAAACTATTAACATCACCACAAATAAATCAAAATATTAATAAGCATAAAGTATTTTTTTATTTTTATTTTTTTGATGCATCATAGATTACACAATATAGAAACAAACTAATTCTAAAAAAAAGTATTAACTTATATTGTATATGGATAAAATATACGAGAACAATTAATATTTGAAGTTATGTGATATTAATAAATGATGACAATCGTCATCCGTTATTCGTATCTGCGCCCAGAATACGTACTTAGTAGTGGATCCCACGTCACATATTTCCCTGGGTACCACAAAGAATTATTGCCCGTTCCATACATCATTGTCGTCAATCTCCACAATATGGACTTAAACGTACCTAAAATAATAATCAATAAATGTTCCTTTCCTTGTACATACTAATAAGTCGCGCAATACTTACAAATAATCCTTCCGAATACTAGCATATCGTATTCGTCGGTGATATACCATGGGCTTTTTTCTTTTAACTTGATTCCAAATTTCGCTTCTGTGGTTATGCTTCGCAGAGTAGCCTCATTTAAAGGTTTCGGCTGGTTACCAGGCCGAAATAAAGCTAAATACACCGATTTAAAACAGGTTTATTATTGCAGGACGTGATGATGGGATGTGAAGTGGGTGATACAATCCGAAACTTTCTCTCTTGATCCGTTGAATAAAACGATACCTATATTACTTTGTACTCATATGAAAATCGCATACTGTCCCACAACCACCCCCGAAAAAACTTAACTTCCTGAAGGTCGATTAACCTAAATAAATTCTCGTTATAATTTAAATTATCGTGTTGAAATGTAAAACAGATTACTTTATTACGACAATATTAATTGGGTAGAGAAACCTAAATCGAAAACACCAATACTTTTTTTTTCTTTTTCTAATTACAACCCTTATAAATATCTATATTTTATTTATATGAGATTATTATACATTATACTTTAACATAAGTAAATATTGCTACACATTATATTAACACCTTACGTATTCATTACATTTGAAGTATACCCATTTAAATGGACTATTTCGTAAATGTATTTCAATATCTTTGATAATCTAGCTCTTACAATATTAGGCTTTATTTTTATAAAATACGAAAAATGAAAATATAATTACCTCTGATGCTGAAGAACAAAACCACTAGAGTAGGGAACCAATAGGTGATCGCGGAATAGTTATGGACAGCACAATCGCTTTCTACCGCACATTCTGCGTGATTGGTTGCCATCTTTAAGTTTTTACAACCTATGGGGTATGAAATATCAGGATTCCAAAATATTATATTTTATTGGAAAATATAATTTCAAATTGCCGAATGTAGTGTTGTTGTGCTTGAACTGCAAAACGAGAAGTGACAAAATTTACGAGATTTGTAACAACATTAATTTATCGTATCCAAGCTTGACGGTTGTTGCTAAGAAGTCGTTTATCGTGCGTTAGACATCGGCTAGCAACACGACTTAAACGTCGTGATCAAGAGCCGTCGACAAAAATGTGTTACATTCGAGCTCATCGCCTAACATTTGGAAACGCTTCGCCTATGTCAGAAGCAGTTGCTGATGACTAAATGTGCTCTACTTCCCCTACCCCCTTAAAATTAAAAATCTCCTAAAATAAAAAAAAAAGCTTATGTCACAGCAATATTATTAATGATCAGGTACGGCAACTTAACTTTAAGAATATTTCCTTTTTAATCAGTAAAGTATAATATATATACATGTATGAAATAAATATTTATTTAAGTCAATCAATGTATCAAACTTTAGTTAACAAACAATACTCCAATCTCACTTAATCAAAATATTAAAATTTTTTGACATGAAAAACACATTTTAAAATATTTCTTTGATCATCATTTAGCAGAAATGCATCAAATTTGAGAATTAGTTGTGAAATTTTCAGTCATTAAAATGTTGTTTATACCTCAAAAGTTGTATATAATATTAATTATGAAACATTATTTTTCTTTATTATGTTATTTTTAATTAAAATCAATAAATCAAACAATAAAATCACAACTTTTACTCTAACTTGTGGATTATTTTGACTAATCTGATTTAATTTTTGGTACGTATAAATCATAAATTCTATGGTTATATATTCATATTTTCATTGTATATAATGCATATAGTACAATAATTACGTTTAATAAACAATGTAAATTCAAACAATGATAATCTAATAAAAAAATGCTATCCACCACAACAAACTAATAAAAATTAATTTCCAAAATATTCACAGCTCTATTGTATGGGTTAAAATGTAAACCTAACACATATATTAATATATTGAGGGGAGGAGGGTTTAGGTTATTTTGCACCTAGTGAGTTGATTCTCTGTGGGCGTCCCTGGTTCAAATGTAGTGATGTTAGCTTTAATATTAAAGTAAACTAACCTATAATCAAACTTTAAGGGAAGAATATTATCTGTGTTTTGCAGACAGCAATTAGGTAACAATAATGTTTAAGCTTCATTAAATTACAATTTAATTTTTAATTTTATAAAAAATACTGTATACTTATTGAATAACTAATATTATAATCAAAATATTTCCGTAACGTTCATATTTTGTAATTTTTATAATATTTCAATTAAAATCACACAATAATATTGTAATTGCACTTTTCTTTTAAGACAGAATAATATTATTTTAAAAATATACGTTTCGATAACTATAAAAGTATAATATTTGAATTCCAATCATCTGGAAATATTTCGATACCTAATATGATATTTATAAAGTAAATTATTATTAATAATATTTGATAGGTACATATTTATGTAGTATAATATAGTATAATATATGTATCAGTTGATCGTTGGCTTTTGTAGCTTACAGACGTTTGGTTTTTGCTATCGTTATTTCTGTGCATTAACACATTAACATGTTAATTTAATTTTTCAGTTTTGTGAAATTTTACGATATCTTCGGGTTTAAAGTGTGTAGTATGCGATACTCGTTTAACAGAATTAGATACATATATACAACTCAACAGATGTGCTGCTCTTGTACATATCAAGTGTTCGGGATTTACTGCGTCAGAAATTAAATGTGTCTCAATGAAAAAGAGAATTTTGAAATTTTTCTGTGTTGATTGTGATCGTAGTCTAAAAGACTAGCCCAATTTAAAAATGTTGATTAAAAAATTGCTTGTTGAATTTGAAAGTTTGAAAACGTCTATCTCGCTTAATTCAAATTATTCATTAGATAGTGAGTTTATCATCAATGAAATAAATTATCGTTATAGTAGAGCAATAAATCTCATTTTTTATAGTGTTGAATAATGTGAGTCCACTCATTAAGAAGATTGTATTACCCATAATTTTACAAAATACAACGGCAATCTTTATACAAATAATCAGGGACGGATTGACAGAATTTTTCGGCTCAGGGAAATTATTTAGACTGGCCCTTTATATTATAATATCTAATATTATACATAAAAATAATATTACCAGTGTTTTCTTAAGACTATAGGCAGTTCAACTCCAACCTATATACAATTTTGTTAACTGACTTTTAAATTTATCAATATAAAATGTGCACATAAACAATATAGCCAAACCATTTAATATGAAAGGTTTTTATTAAGTAATGCATTATTTTTTTTTAACTTATCAATGATTTCTTCTGTGTCAATATAATTATTTTTTATTATTTTTTACTATGAAATACACAATCTGTATGCAAGGCACAAAAAAATATGTGAATAGTGATTTTTGGACTTGAGAGACGTGATTAAAAGAGCCACCCATTGGTGACACATCAAAAGTTGTGTATTATTTGAATTGAGTGTTATTTTAATTGTGTATTTATAGAATTAGAAGTATAATAAGAGGTTACGACACCATGTTCTTTGAAGTCTACTACTGGGATTTTCAGGAAGGGTTAGGATGGACAGATTTTTTGCAATAAAATTGTAGTGATTAGTAAGTTTAGAGTGAAATCTATTATAAAATATTTTGGCTTCTTGATTAATTGTTTTTAAATGAAGGTCATTATGAAGAGTATGATTTGAAATAAAAAAAGGAACATTGGTGATTTGATTTTACGTAGTGATATATTGTTAAAGGTTTAAATTTTGTTGATATTTGACTTCTTGGCTGCCTCCTTCCTATAGTTGAAATCTGAAAGTCCATATAAGTTTAAGAAGAGATTTAAAAATTATAATTTTTGTTTTTAAATTGGCAAATTTTGTAATTTGATAGGAATGTTTTGAGCGAACGGGAGTGTGCATTAAGAAGTAGTCTTTTTGTTTTTATATGATTATTCCTGGTCAATCTTTTATCGAGATGATATTTGGACAGTATCCGAGTTTTAACGTGAAAGTAATATGTAATGATTTAGAGCTATTTATTTTGACCCTCGATTTATTATATCAGTCAGCCATTACATGTAGGTGTAGTTGAAGTGAAGCAATAAGCTATAATTATATTTTCATGTACCAATAATATAGCTTTGTCGTAGGCGTAATCCACTAATAGGGTATCAATGAAGGTGGTTTGATCTGAGACGAAAATACGCAGTGGATTTTGATGCAATTTTTTTTAATTGATGTAGTGATTTAAGAGAAAAGTTTTTGAGAAAAAAAAAAAAAAAAAACTTGAAAGAAGACGGAAATTCGAAAAAATCATGCAGAATATATGCCTTTATAATAACGCATTTCAAATGACCTCTTTCGAGAGTAAGCAATCTGTTGAGTGTGGTTTTATGCCTACATTTAAAATTCAAGGGTTAGAGTATCACTTAGTTGAGAGCTTGATACCACAATGATCACAAATGTCTATAAATTAATTTTATTGCACATCCAGATAATAAGCTTGCGGAGCCAAGGTTAAATAATATGGGAGAAAGTATACCTCCCTGTGGCACACCGGCATTTATTGTAGATGTATCTGAAAAAGCTGAACCATGTCGTATTTGGATATTGCGATTTTCTATATATGATTTTATGAATAGAAAAAGTGCTGAATGAAGACACTTTCGAAGTTTATAATATGGTAAACCTTCATACCAGACTCGATCAAATGCTTGAGATATGTTAAAACTCAGAAAAAAAATGGCATATTCATGGTACGGAGAGTTGAAATCATTATATTAATCAGAACTTTATATACGAGTATATTGGCTGAAATACAAGCCGTTAAAATAATAATAAATAATATGATACTATGGAAACAAAAATTAGGTGTTTCAATGCAAATTAAATAAACTAAATAAAAGTAGACCATTTGAACATTTATTTCAGATTCTAAGATTTGTCTTACGAAGAAACTAAATATATAAATATAGTTATTTAATATTTAATATTTAGTTATATTACGTCTTACGGATTTATTGAAGTCTACAAGATGTTTTCCGTTTTCTTGATCATTGTGACGGTTCTGAAGATTCAACTATATTCAGTCGTCCGTTCCCAACCAATACGTAAATATTAATTAGTAACAATTATTTTACAAGCCCTCTTTACTGGTACATCCAATATAAAATTGTTTGTATCGTAGCTATCGCCGAGCCCGCAGTGCAATTGCCCTCCATCCATAATGTGCAACGATGCACAGATGCGCCCCGAACCAACAACCCCTCTGAAAGCCGTGATAATTCGGGTGTCACAATGAGATATCCATCTGGCGAAGCCGGTTTGTTCCGAAATCCTTTGGAAGTACTGGGTAACGTATATAATAAAGCTCATTATAATTTCTCCGGTGAAATATTGTTATCAAGCATGCACGATTTGTTATATTTGTCACATATAATGCCACGTTTATCGTTCAAATAAGTACACGCAGCGGTGATATGATATTTCAGGTGTATCCGAGTTAGGTTGCGATTAATGTTTATAAGTCACCGCCTCCTCACGGCTTGAGTAGCGGATTCGCCCCCAGCTTTTCCGTCCTTGAGTAGTGCCACTGCGCAAATAATAAGACGTTAGATTGTACTTTTGAAATCCGTATCTCGTCAGAAGGGAAATTTATTTTTATTTTTTTGTATGGACCCATATATTTTTGTATGTGCTCTTTTTTAAGTAGAGTACTTGTGGAACCCAAATAGTGTACTACCTGAAAAACACTGAGACCTATCCAGACGAATAAAGATCTTGGGAACCCAATTAGTAAACGTTGGGTTTTTCGAACCCGTTTACTGAACAGTAAATAATTTATTTTCAACTGTGATTAATTTGTACTTTGACGGTCACAATAAACGTATTTCTTTAACATAATCTCCACAAAAAAAATATAGGTCCTTTGTTTCCAACGAGCAAGTCGATAAACATTTGCGAGATATTAATTACTTTGCAAGCAAACGTGGCATCCAATATACGATTTTCGGAAAGAGGCCGTAAGGTGTGCTCAGAAGTGTGCAACCAGTACCAGAAGAATATGGTCACCAATGGTCCCGTGGACGTGATTTTGTTGCAAGGGTACTGCGATTACTCCAACAAAGGTAATACGATTGAACAAATCGATTTGGCGACTTCTTGCACCTGCGTGTTCAGGATTACGTGCAACAACAAGACTTCGATGGTGTTGTACACGTTTCAATCTAATAGCGATGGTTATCTGAAGGTTTCCATGGCTGAGCCGAATAAATCGCAATATATTACTTAGAAGGACATAGAAAAAAATAATTTAATCGTATTCTAGTTGTAAATATATGAATATTGTTATTATTAGAGGAGCTCACATCACAAAATGTAAAATAGTGTTAAGCTATTATTGCTACAGCTATACTTTATGAAATGATTTGATGAAAATCCTATTTAAATAAAACTATCATTCTAAGAGATATTAAGAATTGTAGAATAACCGCGTGACTTCATCTTATATGTGTAAAAGTTCCTCGCTCCACACAACGATTTACCAACATAAACATTTTATTTTACATATTGTATTGTATGTAATTTACGTATAACTGTGTAATTTTATGTGTTTCGAGTGATACAAGTATCAGAATTTCAATATGACGTTTATTTTATCAAATATTAAAAATCTAAAAGAGGCATTTTTCTGAACATTGGTCATATTGAAATATTGATACTTGCATCGTCTTAAGCAAATAAAATCACACACTTATACACTAATTAAATTTCAAAAAAAAAATTTTTAGGTTGGTAAATCGTTGTGTGAAAGGAGGAACTTTTACACGTATAAGATAACCAATTATGATAAGTAGGGCCCAATAACGTCATGCGTCTTTTTTCAATTGCTCATTAATTATTGAACAATGTGAGTAGAAACGTAAAACCTATACTATTATTCTCGAAATTGAACATTTTTCAAATGAAAAAAAACATATTTTTTATGTTGTTTGCTCCTTTATATTAAAAATAATCCTTTTTTTTTTTAAATATATTATTTTTAAAATATATTTTTTCTTCTTTTTTTCATTACTTTAACAACAGCATAAAGTTGTTTTCGTCCTGTACATGAGGTTTGTATGAGTCATGATCATCACCACGGACAACTTACTGCTAATCGTTTTGGTGAGCAGTTATTATATATATATATATATATATATATATATATCCATTTTATTATTTTATAATAATATAGTATAATTTATTGTAGGTACGAATTAATCAGATATTCGCGGACTGGTATCGACAGAATTAACAAGGCTACTGTAGTTTCTCATATTCATCATAATTTTTAATTGTTTAGATAAAAATACAATTATATGATACCTATAGCTAATAATTAATAATTAAAGAACTAGTTGCTTAAATTTACACTAGTTGCACGCCGTGCTCTACACATCGTTGCGTCGACCATTGTTGGATGTCTGTTTATTTTAGTCATCCATTGGTCAACGCATTAACCGATTTGATACTTTTTAGCACAATATATAAATGAGCGAGTCGACCAAGTGTTGAACGCTTTAATTAACTCACACACACACAAATACTCAGCGTATCAAATTGTACTATACAAATCTCGACCAATGGAATTTTACGTATATTCCATAATTTCCATCGTATCGAAATAAAAAAAAAACTCGAAAATAATGTGATGTGACAAGACCCGGCCAAAAGGGTAGGCGACATAGGCTCACGCCTAGGGCGGCATTTATCTTTTTTAAACTATAGATGATTTTTAAAAAAAATATTACAATTTCTAGTAGCTATTCATATAAAATGATGTGTAGGAAAATATATGACTATAAATTGTTTTATTTTATTAGTAGTAATTTACTGGTTATTACAAATTTATTTATCTTATCAATTGATAATTTTACATAAATAAACATAATTAATTCAGAATAAAGTCTATTTTAATACTGCTTATATAAAAAAAATATTTGATGTAGTATTTACATGCAAGGGGCGGCAAAAATTTAATTTGCCGAGGTGTGAGTAAATATTTGAGCCGGTCCTGGATGTGACGTGAAACGTTTGGTCCACCCAGATTTATTTCTCGCGGAGAATGAAGAGAAAAACAACTATTTAAACAGTGGTAATAATATGTACCACAAAATGTCAAATAAATCGGACGGATACGCATCAATTGTTTATCAAGGAAATTGTTTTGATCACTATTATCACTATAGTGATACTATAGTGATAGTATACTATTGTTATTGGAATATACGAGTACGTCAGTATACATGATTTAATTTTGAGAGAAAATGACTTCTTAAAGAAAAATTGTTTGTTTACGCTTATTCATCAAAATCTCAATTGATTTTCAAATTTACTCAAGCACTTCTAAAAAAATAAGAAAATGTTAATATTTGTAATATAAAAGTTCAGCAGTGATATTTCATGAGTTAAAAACCACCATAGAAAAAAAAAACCGAAATAAAATAAAGAATTAAAAAAGAAAATATATGCAAATTTTAGGTTGTACTGACGGTATAACGATTGGGTTTTTCGTGGTAAGTATAGCTATGCTTTATCACTTACAAATACGAAAACAAAAACCTTTATAGCTAATGTAAATATTTAAATGGAATGTACCAATCCATTTATTGAAATTCTACAAATATTTCAATACATGAGTATCCATTTTGAGTTAAAACCCATATTGTTAAATTATTCATTGATATGGTATTGTTTTAAAATGTTTATTTATAGTATTTGATCACAAAAAATGTGTGTGCAAACAATAATTGCCACTGTTGCCGAACAATCGACGTGATACTAGATCGGATAATCATCATAGCACGTGTGCACGAATCCGTTTAGAATTTCAGCAAGCACAATACGGTCGTCATATATTATTCGTGTACAAAACAACCCTAATTTGCATCCCCAGTGTGATCTCAGGAGACGTAACCATTATTATATATGTTCATCATACGATGGTAAACATGGTACATCGATTTAATCGAAACAATTAATTAATTTTTTATGATAAACAATTACTAATGAAAAACACATCGTTCCGACCGCGTAATGGTTATAGGTAAGCACTTACGGTAAATCGTTGTCGATTTAGAATTATTATTTGTTTTTGTTGTCCGTCGGTCGTCATTGCAATTTTCACGCCTACCCGTAATGGTAATAAAACAGAAGGCACTCGTATACAATTTATTTTCCGTCGTCGAAGAGGGACCAAGATGTTAATGATAATCGGTCGTTTTTCATCCGATACACTTCGCCAGGAAATCAATATCAATAACGAGGTGTTTACGCGGTGCAAGCTTAATCCTGCCACGACTCTTTGTACCCTTAGCACTCCGGCGTTCCGATTGTGCCGACCCATGCTGCACCCTGTCGACTATATAATACCAATGTACTCTTTTGGTCTTACGGGTTAAACGTTTTTATTTCTCCTTCTCCGGTGATTCTGGTCCGACGTAGCACACCACGATGACCGAGCGTTTACTCTTTGTCGCATTGTGGACGAGACAAAATGGCGAACACCCCGGTGTGAGCAATATGAGCTACGTAATAATCGTAATCCTATGTCTTCTAGACCGCCACTTGGTGATTCATTGTACTGGTGTCCCCGTTAAAGCAGTTGTGAACAAGTAATATGTTCGTCGCAAAAACGTATGCCTGTTCGAACTGCATTGCGATCGTTCGCACAACGCATTAAGTAATAATAAATCAAGTAAAATGCAAATCATACCTGTTATATCATTTTGCGATAAATTTTAATTGTTTGAGTATATTGTGCTTCGATGTGCCTCGTGTTTCACTCACCGAAAAAGCCGTTTAATTCTCTCGCGTCTCCAAAATTTTAGTACCCAGATTCAATACATCAGTGACTAGGTACTAGACTCTAATACTAGCAGCTGCTGTTGATTTTGTTTTCTGGTTTTTCCGTAAGTCCAAGCACTCGTATAATATTCATTTCCTCACAATTTGAGAATCCTGTACAAACGACACACTGAATCGTTCGTTTCGGAAAATATGTCCCACTCGCTGTACTCGTAATTAGCGTACGAGATGTCCAGTCGATGAAGCCAATTCAAGTTAACGTGTTTAATTATCGACACAGTAAATATTTTTTAATGGTCTCGGGGGGGGGGGGGGGGGGGGGTTGGTTAGTAACAGTTCTAAACCAGAACGTCGTCGTCGTCGATCGAATACAACTACAAGGATACCCGCGGTAATCACTAATAATATACTAACTTTTATATTCAATTGAAACCATCATACTATAAAATAAATATGGAACACCAACCAAATACCTGAAGATTGCAAAACAGCTGTTATATGTCCCATATACAAAAAAGGCGATTCCATGGATACAAACAATTATCGAGGAGTTGCGCTTTTAGACTCGTGCTACAAAATTCTATCCTTGGCATTACTACGAAGATTGGAGGTATACTCTAGAGATGTAATAGGAGAGTATCAAAGTGGTTTCCAAAGAGGAAGGTCCAACTCTAACAATATTTTCACAATCAGACAACTAATGGAAAAATCCTATGAATTCCGAAAGGATGTGCACTGTCCTTTGTGGATTTCAGGCAAGCTTACGATAGTATAGTTCAGAATAAACTGTGGACAGCCCTAGAGAATTTAGAATCCCAAAAAAACTTATCAACCTCATAAAAACAGGCAACACCCATACGATGTGCAAAGTGAAGTTTGACAACGATACATCTGACAGTTTTGAGGTTAGCATAGGACTCAAACAGGGTGATGCCTTATCACCAGTCCATTTCAACCTAGCGCTCGAGAAGATGATCAGATCAATATCAACACGACCAGACATGGAGTTACTGTCCAATAATACACTTTTGGTATATGTAGACGATATAGTTATAATAAGTAACACACGGCAAGATGTGATAAGAACTAATGATTTAATAAAAGCAGCAAAGCCAATGGGTTTAGAAGTAAATCAGTATAAAACCAAATATTTAGTCATGACTAAGGGAACAAGAGATAACTTTGACCTAATAGTAGAAAACTATACCTTTCAACAAGTGGAAAATTTCAAATATCTTGGAGCAAACATAAATCAATACAAAAATATGCATAACGAAATCAAACTAAGGATATCAGCCGCTAAGGGTTACTATGCGTTAAAAAAACTGTTCAAGTCAAAGCTCCTCTCCAAACGATCAAAGGAACTTTTGTACGCAAGTTTTTACGGTCAGTTCTTACATACGTGTGTAAAACATGGGCGACTACTAAAGGTGATGAAGAGAAAATGGCTTGTTTCGAAAAGAGAATTCTTAGAAGGATATATGGACCCACATTCGAAAACGAAGAGTACAAAAGAAGAACTAACGTTGAAATACAACAAATTTATCAAAAACCCAGTATCTCTGCATACCTCATGAGCAAACGAATTGAGTGGACAAGTCACGTTTGGAGATCAAATGGAATTCTAAAGAAAGTTCTAGAGGGGAAAATTAATGCAAAAAGACCTAGGGGTCGCCCTAGACAACGCTGGTTAGATAGGGTTAATGAAGATCTAAATAAGTACACACCAGGTATATTAATAGAAGACAGCGTTGATAGAGAAAGCTGGAAAAAAGTAGTAGAGACAGCGAAAGTCCTTCAAGGACCGTAAAAGCTATGGAAGAAGAAGAAGAAACCATCATAACTTCATATACCGTTTAATTATTAACACTCAATGTAATAATAATATCGGGAGAAAAAATAAAACTCTAAATTCTTATTACTGTTTACTGCTATACACCTGACGTCTGCAATGCATCATTCGCATTGATCACTAATAAAACGTTTGTTTCAGTCACGTCGACGGGCGTAACGCATACCTTTTCGGTTTCGTTTAACTTTTAAAATGCGCGTTTATGGGTACACAAGGACGTTTTGATCGAAGTCACACCGCGCCCGTCTGCCATCGCGTTCTCGCTACGCGTTTTTATTTAGATCGACAGTCCGAGATCTCTGTACGATAATATATTACAGTGTATTTACAATAGATTTACATAGATACTTTTTTTTGATTTGTTTTAGTGTTACGTTCGAATCGCCGATAAAAAAAAAAAAAATTATATAACCCGAATGGATTGTGTTACGTACGCGTGGATATGATCATAATAATGATCATAATTCATAATCCTTAGTATTATCGGCGTACGTATACAGCAGCTGGTCGGAAATCGAACCGGATACTATTGCGATTGTTTTTTTATAAGCTAAAACACGAACGCGCGCAGTGCTACAACACGTCGTGCGCCGAAAATATAACAAAACGGAAAATTCGAATGCGGTTAAATTTGAACGCGTGGAAATAGGTCGACGCCACGGGGGAAAAAAAAAGACAAATGTATTCAAATGTAATCGAAATTCGGAAACTCAAACGTTATGAAATTTAACATGTGCGACGCGTGTGCCCATTGATTTTACTCCATCAGGCGTCGTTGGCTGCACAGAAAGGTTTTCAGAAATGTCATAACGACATTCTCACGTAACTGAAAGCGAAATTATATTCTATTTTTTTACGCGACCTAAACGTACGGCTGGAGTCGGCGGATCACTGATGAAGTATAAAGTCTATATCGACAGTGTTGAGCGCAAAGAATCAAACCGTGCGCCGATCACGATGAAAATCTCCGCGTACGAAGGAACACGTAAATTTGAAACAAAAATTGTACATTTAAGGTGTTCTACGGAGACATGTACCCAATTGTGATTTAGTTTTCTGAGCTTTGTAAACATAATCAAATTTGGTTTTTTTTTCATACACTGGATGAAATCTTGACTTCAAATATTTATATTTTAAATTACATTTTTATTTCTATTTTTTTTTTTTTTTTGTAATCAATTTAAAAAATAAGTTTTTACTTTAATGTTTTCGACAAATTAGAAAACGACCAATTTAAAGATGGGTTTTTATTTTTCGGAAAATGTCGACGTTTCAACTTTTATTTCATTGACCTCATCATTTTTCTGATTTTTTTTTTTTTTTTATTTTGCAGAAAAACAGTGTATACGATTAAGAAACAAAATTTATCAGAAAAAGAGCTAAAGCTATAATATCGAAACATTATTATATAAACACAATCGTGTTTCAATATTATATTTTTTTTACGAGCTAGAAAATGTTGATATAAAATATGACTATGGTCTGTATGAGCTTAAAATTGTAGACACTGTAATTTTGAAATCTTAGCAAACAAAATTATTATTATCACTCATAAGCGTGTTCAATATTCTGTAATACCAACAGCCAACGTGGCACAACCGAGACAGATTTTGCCCAGTATTTGCTCACATATAAGTCACTCGTGATGTACTTATATAACCAATATCTGGCCGCCAGTTTTTAATTTTCTAAGGCTAGTGCGGTGCAATAACGTAAATATAAAATAGTAATTACAAAGAAAAAACTATAAAAGTGTTGTACTTTTTATGGCCGTGTAGATTGAATCAAAAATTAAAAATGTTTTACCATGAACTATTCTCGTATTGTATACATATACTTACCATGTTCATGATATTGACTGTGGATTTATTTTTTTTAAAAATACTTATTCTACTTCGTTTTCTCTTCGAGTTTCTCTCTCTATTTTTTTTTTTAAACATAAAGGCCATCCATATTTGTCTAAATAAACGAGATTATGCCGAATGTTTAGCAGAATTTACAGATTGGTTGTTATCTATTTTTATTTTCGGTATTTGCATAAACTTGGTCACACAGTGGGTAATAATGCCAAATTTAGATCATATTTTTTTTTGACAATCTACCTTACATTTAATAATTATATCGCTGATTTAAAAATTGTATAGAAATTCTGACGTTATTTTGGCAATCATCTCGCTTTACTCGCCTCGTAGACCAAGATTGTGGTTAATATTACAATTTTGAAAATATATGTGATCAACCGAGTATCCGAAAAACGATTCTACGTAAATTTCCTGTATTATTCACTCTAAAAAGATACAAAATTTACGTGGTGCATATATTTCCTTTAACATATGCGGTTTTTTCCTATTTCAGCTTTCTTGAAAACTTTTATGGAAGAATTCGCAAAATTAAATCCTTCCGGAACCTACAGATACTACAATAAACATTATTAAATTTTAATACAGAGTTATGCGGTGCTTATGAATTCTCCGCTTGTATTTCTGCCACAAAAATCTTCGACTGTCAGTTGATAAATTGTCTTATAGTAGTTTAGACCGAATAACATGTTGAAAAATTAAGTTGAATGACTTAATTTTTTTTTCTTATTTATTAATAGTAACGCCCGCGAGGGCAGAGAGTACAGAATATCTTAATTGGAAGTAAACATAATTTAAATATGACTAAAAAATGTGTAAAAATGTTTATATAATATAATAAACATAATAAAATAAACTAAAAACAAAGTAACAGTTTTTTAACTTTCGATTATCATCGAAAAATAAATTTAATTCAAATAGATTATTGTTACAATATGTAAAACTCTACTGTTGGCTATGAAAACATAATTACAGTTACGTGATGTAATATAAAATAGGAAACTATGTCAAGTATTGACTGTGGGGACTCTAAGGTCAATAAGACTTTAGAGCTCAGGACAGTTGACGGATCCGTTCAATAGATTTTATAAAAATAAACAGCCAATGTAATCACACCTAATACCAAAAAGGGATACTTTACATTGGTTTTCGACTTTGGTAATAGGTAGATCACATAAATTTAGTTTAAAAGCAATCATTCTAATAAAACTTCTTTGAAGTTTTTTCAATTTCATCGATATAGCCTATTTGTCGAGAGTTCCACATTAATGAACCAAACTCCAAGACGAACCGAACCAAAGCAAAGTAGAAAACTTTTAGACACCTGTAATGCATATCCACACAGTTGCATTTAATATAACCTAAGTTTCTAAAAGTCTTTGCACAAATGAACAAATGGTAAAACCTAGATCCCTAATTTTGTTCACCACATTGGTTCTAGTGCCAACTACATTGTAATCTAATAGTGTTGGTAAGCATTTGTAATGGAATGGTATTCGCATACATATTCCTTATCCTTGGCCGCATTCACTGATTGATCTCTAGGTATATATATATATATAAGGATCTTAAAAACCGATTAAAGTTCACCGGAAGTATAATCGAAATCGACTTTCTCATACTTATGATTTCTTCCCTTTATATCCTACCAAAATTAATTAAAAACATCTGTCAAGTGTCCGGAAACATATGGTCAATTGGTGGAATATTGCTGTCAGATATTGCTAATTTCGATTATCGGCCGTTTTTTGTGAAAATAATGCGTTACAATTTGAAAGCGATAGTTTACGAATTTGGTATGATAAAAGAGTATTTGTCAATTATAGGTAAATATAAATGTGAAAATGAGAAATTAAATTATCCGACAATATTTTTAAAAATATACTTCAGGCGTAACACCAGTATTATAAAAATTGACTAAAGCAAGCTTTTTGAATTTTTGACTCCGTAAAACCGCTCAGGGTTAACGTTGCGTAAAATGTTCAAACGATAGATTTTTATAAAAATTAACACCATATGGAATTTATATTACAATGATTAAAGTTTAAGAACTATAATTGAAGTGAGAAAACATGTTTTTTTTTTTTTGCGATTACGAAAAGCGGGAGGGTTTATTCTCGTATTAATTAGGTAAATGTTAGTAAATTAACTGGATTTCCGCAGACTTCAGAAAACGTTTCTCGAAAATTAAACTGCATGCCATCAAAAAACCACTGCGAGTCCGAAAATGATATAAAAAAAGCATAATTTGTATCATATAACTAATGCGTTAAGATAATTGTATTTTAAATTATTAATAGGTATGTAGAGTTTAGGGAAATAATCTAAGAAAGAAAAAAAAAATATTGGAAAACTCTAAATCCACCATTCGTCATAGTTGAGAAAATAACGAAATTTACGATATTAGCGTGGTGTAATAGTTGATTGACACCATAGTTACAGAAGTACACTGTACATAACTGAACGCACCTGTATGCCAGCAAATGGATGGGATAAATAGTTACATGCAAATCAAAACATAGCTTTTGAAATGTTGCCCATATCCCTTCCAGATTAAAAATAATGAATATTTAAATTTTATGTTTGAGATCGAGATAAATTCTAATCGACTAGATCTATAATCTTAACACACAAATTAATTATTAATATTGACAATATTACATTATTCAATAATTTTTATTCCAAAAAAATGTATTTTAATTTTAAATGTTTTTATGATATTTTAATAATAGATGTTCATGTTATAAAACAAAAATAATTATTACGAGAAACTGCTTGAAAACTATCAAACTCGATTTTTGTACAAATTATATCAGTTAAGTGATCGAGAAGCATGTTTATGTTAATTTTTATAAGATGTTACATTTAGCAATGAGTAATTCCTATAAGCTTGGCTACTGGTGAAAGATTTTTTCTTCTATGACGCGTATCAAAAATTGATTTTGAACCAATATGCTACAAGACCGTTTGACAAATTTGGCTGCTCCAAATATCGAGAGGGATGTTTTAAGCCCGTTAAATAATGAAGATATTTTTTTAATTTTAAAATACTAAAAACGGAAAATTTATTTTGAAATAAAATTTAAACTTAAAAACTGT